TATTTCTATACACCTTCCTACATCCTAATCACCTTAAAAACCCAAGATCACAGCCTGTTAGCTCCGGTTGGGATATCAGAGAGCTCCTAGTTCAACCCTTCTCGCTCTGTTTCTGCCTCTGTCTCTATCTCTGTCTCTCTCCTCTCCCTCCATAAAGATACACACACACACACACATATGCATACATACACGTGTATATGCATGACTACCTTACCTTTCATTTCCTAATATATGTGTGTACACACACATACAGGAACCCCAACAAGCAATATACTCAAAGTCCTATGACGAGAACTAGGACTCAGGGGTGGGGAACCTGTGGCCTTGAGGCCACATGTGGTAATGTCCAAGCCCTTTTCCGGTTCTTAAATGCTAAGATCTCTATTGTGAGAGGAGGAGCTAGGACACCAGCCTTCAGATGTCTAGACCAACATTCTTTGCTGCAATATCAGGTTGTCCCTTAAAAGCCTCATAACCAGAACTTAGTAATTTAAGTAATTCATCTTGGCTGCAAGGAATATAATATCAGTTATAAAACCTTGAAGAGCCTTTAAAAAGAAATACACATTTATTAAGCACCTACATGTCTGGCACTGTGCTGAGAGTTTTACAAATATTACCTCATTTGATCCTTACAACAACCCTGGGAGGCAGGTGCTGTAGTTATCCCTATTTTTACAGTTGAGGAAATTAAGGCAGATAGAGGTTAAGGGACTTGCCCAGGGTCACACAGCTAGTAAGTATCTGAGGTTGAATTTGAATTCAGGTCTTTGTGACTCCAGGTACAATGCTCTATTCACTGTGCAACTTAGCTGCATTTATTAAAAATTTAAAAACACACGAACGTAAATCTGTCTTTTAAAAAAAATATGGATTCTATACACTTCCTGAGAGAGAAATAATAAATTCTGAGCATTGATTGAAGCATATTTTCTTTCACTTTCTTAGTTTTTCTTGCTTTTTTTTTCTTTTGTTTCCCTCAGTTTCCTCATCTGTAAGATGAGCTGGAGAAGAAAATAGCAAACCATTTCAGTATCTCTGCCAAGAAAACCCCAAAATGGGGTCATGAAGAATCAGAATAAGAACAAAGGCTTAAAAGATCAGCATAGTGACAGATCATAGAAAGCCTTGAATGCCGGGCTAAGGAATTTGTACTTTATTTTGTTGGAAATGGGGAAGCATATTAATCTGGAGTAGAATGAGTTCAACAAAGTTGATAGGCAAGCCTAGTAACAGAGAGGCAGCTTCTGTAGCCTTATTCCTGCTATATCCCACAATGCTTCTCTCATACCAGCTGCCTATCTACCAGAACCTTCTCCTGACACCAGACCTCCCAAATGCCATGTTCCATCCCATGCTGGGGTAATTCCCCTGCCCTCCATCACACCTACCTGCTACTAATTTGGCTGGACTTCTACAGATTGCCTACTCCCACACTCTACTGTGACTTCTCCCACTTATCCTGATGTCCTCCTAATGGTGGGGACCTTCCTATATAATGTAGTCAGATGGATTTGTCCAGTTTCCACATCTCAGCTATCCCTATTCTGGTCCATCTCATCAGCCCTGGAGACTTAGCAACTGATGCTGTCTTGAAAATTAGACTCTAAAGTTCCTAAGGACAGGGATAAGAAAGCACCTTGTAAAATTTCTGACACACAAAAGACATCCAACCACTTCTTGATAGTAATTAAAATGTGCTCTGGATTAAATCATCTCAATTCTTTGTACCAGCCGAGTTCGTTCTTTATTTGTATAAATATGAATGTGTGTATACAAACACATATGCATATAAATATATAGTATATATATATATATATATATATACACACATATAATTTTAAGCAAGAGTTTAAACATTTATGTATGTATATGTTTTTATGTGTATGTATATGTATATATTTGTGTATATATAGGTATTATGATAATTGTGCATGGTTTAAGAACTTTGGGGGTTCAATGTCATAGTGAATCAAGTAGTCCCCAGACACCCTGTCTGATCTGGATCAGAAATGGTGATGAAGATGGTGGTTTCACTATTCATCTCTAGTGATAAGTAGTCTAACCTATAAACCCACTGTACCGCTTAATGCAACTGCAGATGATGGGTACTTTCAGGGTTGGAGTTTAGCATTCAAGGCTGCATTTTCTCTAGGCCAAAATTAGAGGATGTTAGCTGAACCGACCAGGAATCATACATAAAAGTATGCATATCATCTCTCTCTCTCTCTCTCTCTCCATATACACACACAGATATAAACTACATCTCTGCATATTGCATGTGTAGAGACATGTCACATATTAGTATACATAGTATAAATGCATGTAATACATTGTATATGTATATACACACATATTCACACGTGTGTGAATATATTGGTTAAGAAACTCATAGTATCACAGAATTTGAGAATTAGAAGAAACCTCAGAGTCCTTCTAATGCAATCCTTCCACAAAAGGAATCATTGTCCTGATGAGGAAATTTCACTTACCAAAGCAAATCAGCACCTGCTCTGCCATTTTAGTCTTAAGAGATTTTCATGGGCATGAAAAGTCAAGTAACTACCCAGGGTCACAAACACAGTATATGTCAGAGGTGGGATTTGAACCCAGATCTTCTTGATTCTGGGGTCAATCACCTACTCACAAGGATAGAAAGAAAGAAAGAAAGAAAGAAAGACAGACAGACAGAAAGAAAGAAAGAAAGAAAGAAAGAAAGAAAGAAAGAAAGAAAGAA